CACACACTATTTAGCAAAAACATGGCACTGTTTTTGCATAAACTTTTGCCATAGCTTTAATTGCAATAGGTTTCACCAATACTGCTCAAAAGAAATATTGCCATTACCATTTGCTTTCTAATTAGGTTTAAGACACATAACAAAATAGATGAGATTACCAAGTAGAAAGGGAATAAAAGAGTACTATACTATTATAAATGCATTAGTTATGATGAATGTCTATACTTAGTCAAGAAAAATTAAAGCCCAATTTATTCTTATACATTTTCATGTTCTCTGTCATTGTTGACTGATGGCTTGTTTGAAAGGCTTTAAAATAAATAAAACAGGACTTTAATCTGCATCTCAATTGCAGCAGTATATTTTCAGTAGTATGTAACTTGTGTTAAAGGAATTTTGTTTTCATTTAAGGAACTGCTGCTCCCTTTTTTCATTCTTAGTAGCTCCCTCTCACTTTCTCTCTTTCTCCCTATAATATACTATTCTTTTCACAAAATACAGAGGCAAAACAATAAAATGATTCTAATTAATACGGAATCCATGGAAAGTAGACTGGGCTATCCAGAATAAATAAGTCCCCTGTGTACTAGTGTCACTTTGCTAACTGAGAAGCATCATAACATACATGTATATGTAAACATATGGGTAAATGCATTTTAAGTTTAGAATTATCAAATTATTGGGCCATTTGTAACATTTCTACAATATTTTCTTTTTTCTTCCTTCTGTCTTGATGTCTCAGGAAAAAGGTGGAGTCCTTCCCCCACCCTTAAACTAGGACTCTATAAAATACCAATCTGGCAACCCCAAGCAACAACATGTCACTGCACACCTCTCAAGGGAATGGGGCAAGCAGCAAGTAGACTAATAGGAAAGGCAGATTAAACAATTCATTCAGGCACCCCTGATGCTTCCTCCCTGTTCCACACACATCTTTGAAAAAGCTCTGTACATTACCCTCATTAGAACCGTCTGTGCAAGCCCCTCTCCCTCCCAGGAAGAGCATCACAGTAAGGAAACAGGAATCAATGGTGAAAGCTTCCAGAGGACAATCAGGCAGCCCCAGGACAGTGAGGAGGCAAGGAAAACAGCAGCTTGGGAAGCTTGACAAGCTCGAGTCAGACGCAGCTTCAGGACTCCTGTTGCTTGGCGTCAGCATCCTGAAATAAGAACATTGTTCTTAGGGGATGGCCAGGCCCTGCTGTCATCATTTAGGATGCATAAAACTGCACAAGGTAGAGACCCAGAGTGATTTAGAGAGTACATTTCATGTAGAAATAAGAACCAGACCTTTGGGAAAACTGAAATAAATAAAATAAAATAAAATAAAATAAAATAAAATAAAATAAAATAAAATAAAATAAAATAAAATAAAATAAAACCTCAGAACCTGCAAGTGTATGGCATGTAGATGTAAGTGTGTGTCTATACCTCTGTATTGGGAACCATTGGTGAGATGTGTGTAATCCATAATCTAGCAGCCTTGCACAGAGCTACCTACCTACAAGCCCAGGAAAAAAAAAAGTAGAATATGTAGTCAAGAGGTAAATATGTTTGCTCATTTCATTTTTGTTATCTATCATGTTCCTAAAGAAAATAACATTAGTCTTTAAAATATTAATTTAAATTCTATGTATTTGGAGTTTATTTGCAGAAATTAAGATATTAAGCTTTATTACTTTTCTAATATATGTGTAATATATGACTATGTGTAATATATATATATATATATATATATATATATATATATATATATATATATATATATATCTTCAAAAATACTCCAAGTATATTCTAGTAATTAGAGGTCCAATAAATACTATCAGAGATGATGTTTCAGGGTTTCTTATTGCAATTTATGAGTACAAAATAGAAACTGAACTTGCAACCTAATTTCTTTGAATACAAACATCATATCATTTCATTGGCTTGGTATTTGCATAAGATGATTACTCCTCTCACCAGTTGAAAGGACTACCAGCACCAAAGAAACAATTAAAAGTATTTCTGATCCTATGAGGCACAGGCTAGTAAAACTACTCCCTCTCGGGAGAAAAGTGCATGTCCATATGAGGTAAATTATCTCTCCAAGGGAGCCAAATGATGATAATGATTTTCAGAGGCCAAGTAATAATTCAGAGACGAGTACAATTTTTCCATGGCAAGTATGAGTTTAGAGTATTTATAGATTCCCTTAAGCCTTTCACATTAGATATATAGCAAATGGCCTAATAATCTGATATTTCTAAACCTAAATGTATTTACCCAGTGAGTAGCTGGTTATTAGAGATCATAGCAATATTTATGACATGAGTTTGCTGGCTTTGTAAGTGTGCACCACACAGAGGCTTGCTAACATCATTTAAAACATTAAAACATAGTATATTATGATATAAACTACTCAATATATATTACAATATATACTCAATATAAACTACTCAATATATAAACTACACACACACACACACACACACACACACAGAGATAATTGAATAATTATGTGCATGTTGCAAACATCTATTCTCTCTTGAGGGCACAGCTAAAATGTTCACTATCATTCAGTCAGAAATGTTTCCATCTGTCATAAAATATTTTTCTTTGTTTTCTATCACTATAATGGATGCTGAGGTGATAATAGAGGTATAATTATTTCCAGTGTTTTCTTTGGCTTATTATATAAGGGTATTTATTATTAGATCAATCTCATTTGCAAGCTTAAATTTACAGATCTCTATAGGATTGATGAGCAATTATGCCTATGGGCAGTGTGTACTTCAAAAGTTGGCAAGCACCAAGTTTTCTCTGCTAGGATATGTAGTTCTGGTGCAGTCAGTGAAAAAGAAAACATAGCTGAATCTTCAACAAAACTTAAGACACAGTCTTCTTTCAAAATTACACTTTGATTGAAGTGCAAAAGTTCAAAGCCAAAACAGCTAAACATGTGAGAGAAAATAGTCCACCTTCTCAAGTAATGAAAAATATATAAATTAATCACATACTGTACTAGTATGTTCTTCTAGTTTGATTTTCACTTTTTATAAAAGCAAAAAGAAATTGTAAATATATTTCAAGGTGACTTGAGAAACTATTGCAAACTCATTTCAGGCACGAGTTTTACATGTAAAATGGAAGAGAACAAAGGGAAGTAGATTTAAATAAGTAGTAACCAGCAAAAGTGTAATTTTGATGCTTTAACTATTGAAATGGCATAACATCAGTATGAGTTATATAGAGTCTTTATTACTAATTAATTTATAATCAATTAATTTCTTCCTTTCTAATTAACTCACTCATTATCCACTTTTGAAGGTCCTTTGTATAGTGGGATGAAAATCTAGAAAAGTTATTTTCTATACCAGCCAAACATTTAAAATCATATAGCAGAAATTAATAAATTCTAGAATATTGAAAATATTCTAAATTTTTTTCTTAAAGTTTCTCAGAAGAACTTTTCTTTTGCTAGTTTTTTCCTGGTTTTACTCTGATATGTTTCCACTATTTGGGGGGATATAAACTCACCTTCATTTTATATTCATTGTATTTTCTCATTCTCTCCAAATAACATTCTCTTGTGATTCAAAAAAAAAAAAAAATCTTTAAATAGACTATTCAGTCTAATCATTCAAAATGTTCTTGAAATTACTTGTTTCTTGATAAAATGACACAAAATGATTATCCAGAAGAATAAACTTGTAGTAATCACCAGAAAAAAAGCCTGTAAAAGTCATGAAATTAATCTCTGCTGATTTTCATAGCCAGATGTTATGGGGACTTTTCTTCCTGCACTGGGTTGGGGGGGCTTGTGTGAGGCTGGGACCCCTCACTCCTCAGGGGGAATTCTGCAGCTAAAGATATCCCTCCCAACTTTTATCTACCACACGTGAGCCCATCCTGTATTTACTCTGTCATCTTGATCAGGAAGCACCTGGTTACTATTCTAACTTCTCTTGTCAGACCTTACTGCTGTCAAAAGGATTTTTTTATGCTTTTTTTTAACCTGGAAATTTATTCTTCTGGATATTCAAATATCTCATTTGACTATGTCCTTTAATTATTTGTTGAATATCACCTTTTTTCAGTGAGGTCTTCCCTGGCAAATCTAAAATTGTAAGACATCACTTTTGTTGTTGTTGTTAATCCTTACCTGAGGATATAAGAGAGAGTGGAAGGGAGGGAGCGAGGCAGAGAGAGAAAGAAACATCCATGTGAGAGAGACACATCCATTTGTTGCCTCGGCAGACTCCCCCCCCCCCCCCATCCCCAACTGGGCTGGGGATCGATGGAGCCTGCAACTTAGGTACATGCTCTTGCCTGGAATCAAACCCCAAACCTTGACCCTTCAGTCTGGGGCCAACACTCTAACCACTGAGCAAAAACTGCTAGGGTTAAGACATCACCCATTTTTTAACAGTTGGGAATTGTAACCCACCACACCATTATTTTGACAATGTTTCTGTAAATGTTGACTCTGACTATATGTAGCTTGTAAATTAGTAGCATGTTTGTATCAGAATACTAGGAATTAACTTCAGAAGATGCAGACTCTGACCTTCAGTCATTCCAGTTCTGCGAAATTTGCTAACCTTCAACCAAAGAAACAAGATGATGTAAAACCAGTAGACCAAGACACGGGTGACACACACCAGACCATAACTTGACCAGTTTTGAGATCCTTATTGAAATGGACTCTACTGGTTTCCACTTAGAAAACTTTTCAACCCCATCTCTGTGATCTTTTTGTTCTGCTCTTCCTCTCTCTCCTTATAAAAACCTCTACCTGCACTGAGATGTGGAGATGGGTTTTGGACAAGAGTTCCCCATCTTCTCAGGGGGCCAACACTTGAATAAACCTCTTTTGTTTCTCACAAGCTTCTTTCTCATGAGTTTGAGTTTCATGGTGGTAAACAGCTGAACCTTGGTTTCAGTTATAAATCGAAAACTCTTATTTAAGTCTGCTGTTGTTTTTCCTCTTCAAATCCCCATATCTAATAAACGTATATATGTATGGGGGTGAGGAGTGGCCAGGTCCTGTCCCAGCCGGTGCCTGGGTCTCTGCAGAGGAGCCAGTGGACGAGGTGACAGTCGATGGGCAGAGCCAGGACCCAGACGCGGCCATCGAGGGATGGACCACCGTGGAGTTCCAGCCCTTCTTCAATGAGAAGACCTTCGGGTCTGGGGAGGCAGATTGTGGGCTGCGGCCTCTGTTTGAGAAGAAGTCGCTGGAGGACAAGATGGAGCAGGAGCTGCTGGAGTCCTACATGGACGGGAGCATCGTGGAGGGCTGGGACGCAGAGATAAGCCTGGCGCCCTGGCAGGTGATGCTTTTCCAGAAGAGTCCCCGGGAGCTGCTGTGCGGAGCCAGCCTCATCAGTGACCTCTGGGTCCTCACTGCTGCCCACTGTCTCCTGTACCCGCCTTGGGACAAGGACTTCACTGCAAATGACCTTCTGGTGCGCACTGGCAAGCATTCCCGCGCCAGGTATGAGCGAGACATGGAAAAGATCTCCATGCTGGAGAAGATCTCCATCCACCCCAGGTACACCTGGAGGGACATCCTGGACTGCGACATCGCCCCGCTGAAGCTCAAGAGGCCCATCACCTTCAGCAGCTACACCCAATCCGTGTGCCTGCCCGGCAAGCAGACGGCAGCCAGGTTGCTCCAGGCGGGATACAAAGGGTGGGTGACAGGCTGGGGCAACCTGGAGGAGGCGTGGATAGCCAGTCATGCCGAGGTGCAGCCCCGCGTCCTGCAGGTGGTGAACCTGCTCATCGTGGAGCGGCCGGTCTGCAAGGCCTCCACCCGCAGCCGCATCACCGACAATATGTTCTGTGTTGGTTACAAGCCCGATGAAGGGAAATGAGGGGATTCCTGTGAAGGTGACAGTGGGGGACCCTTTGTCCTGAAGAGCCCCTATAACAACCGCTGGTATCAAATGGGCATCGTCTGGTGGGGTGAAGGCTGTGACAGGAATGGGAAGTATGGCTTCTACGCACATGTGTTCCGCCTGAAGAAGTGGATACAGAAGGTCATTGATCGGTCTGAAAGTTAGAGGACCATCCACATTCTAGGCTCCTCACTGTAAGATCACAGAAACCAATCCAGAGGAAGAATTATTTTTGTGGTTTGTTCCTAAAACTTTAGTTCTCAATAAAAGTGACTCTATGAGCCTAAAAACAAACAAGCAAAACCAAAAAATAACAAACAAAAAAACCCACAAAAACAAAAACAACAAAAAAACGTGTATATGTATGTATGTATTACTGTCTCTTATTTCTTTTAAATATCTGTTCCAACTTCCATAATATAAAATAAGATATATAAAAGTGAAATAATTTTTGTCTCTGGACCTTTTATTGTTGAAGTGAATGTCAATTCCTCTATAAATACATTATTTTGTTGTTGTTTATTAGATATAAAGAAGCAAATCTCTAATAGTGGACTTTTAAGTAGTGAGGAGACAAATTTGAGGGAAGTTGTACCAGGTTAGTGCTACATAAAACTCTACATAAATCTGTAGATTTAACTATAGTTACAGGCATGGAAGTTAGATAAGGTATCTTATGTCTTTGTTCTCTAGGAAATGTGAGCTGCCACATTGGAAAAAAATATATATAATTTTATAAATTTCATATTAGGCTCGCAAAAGTATAAGAGAGATTGTCATAAATTTAAATATCTAACATATCTATTCAGTCAATTAATAGCTTTTATGTATCATTTTTAACTATGCAGATGTCCAAAGATGCTGGAAGTATACCTCTGAAAGTCCAGCAAGTCTATTTAAAAAAAAAAAAAAAAGGTCTAATATATAAAAATTATGCCACCTAAATTTGCAATAACTAAAGATTGTTTCAACTATTTTATCTTCAACACTTGTTTAAAAAATTATTTGTGTTTTTTAAAATATGTTTTTATTGATTTTTAGAGAGAGAAGAAAGTACAGAGATAGAGAGATAGAAGCATTGATGAGAGAGAAACATCAGCAATTGGCTGCCTCCTGTAGGCCCCCTACTAGGGATTGAACCCATAACCCAGGCATATGCCCTGACCAGCCTGGACTGGTGACCTCTTAGTTCTTGGGTCAATACTCAACTACTGAGCCATACCGGCCAGGCTATTTGTATGTTTTAACTAAATTCTTACGTTATTTATTATAATGTTTCAAATGACAACTCATTCATTGAAAAGAATCAACTGTTTTGAATTTGTAACTCATGATATTTAATCATCTCTTTAATTAATTTTGATTTTATTAACCCCCCGTTCTTTCAAATAAATGTCTGAAATCCCATTTCAAATAAGCTTCCTGATGATAATGTATTTGTCAAGTAATTTCAGACAATTTGTAAAATTTATATACAGATGCCCCTTTTACACACTCATAGGAGTTTATTAATTCTATAAACATAATAGCTGGGTTTAGACAATGTGAGAAAACTGGTTTATTTTTAGCCAACACAATGAGTTAATTAAATGATCCCATAGCTGATGCAATTGATTGACTGACAGTAGAACATAACTGATTGAAAATAATGAACAGAGAGGTTGGGGCCAAAATAAATATAGTGATGTATGTGTGTAGGGTGTGCATGCATGTGTATAGCCTGCATAGATACAATTCTGCAAAGACTTACATGAAAAGTGATATGTATCTGTGTTGATTTATCTCAAGATCCCTCCCTATGATTAGTCATATATTCTCTCAGTGATTCATGGTATTACACTTGATTGATATTTGTTTCCTCAGCTATTTTTCAGAAGTGTTTTACACTAACATAAAGTGGATTGTCACCTCTCAGATGAGATTTGAATATCGCCTCACCTGTTCCTGGCTGGAAACACTACTTAAAATCCCACTATCAGTGATTCATTATTTGAATTAATGTTTTTGCCTCCTTGAAATAAGCACATCCCTTGAGGAAGAGAAACATTATGCAGTCTTTGGCTATTAATAAAATGAGTAAAAACATCTTGTATTTCTGTATAATATTTCAATTTAGCAAAGGTCGTTTTATCAATATTCTGAACTTGTGGCAAGTAGCAATGGAAAACAGTATTTGTAGTTTTTGTAAGAGAGAGACTAGAAAGTCACACAACTGGGTCACTCTCTGTGAAAAATCGACTTCATCATGAATGGCACATGGAACTAAAATGCTTAGAGTACTCAAAGGCATGTTTAAGGGGGCAGAGGGTCAGGGATGGTGGGTGGCACTCAGGTGTACAATATAGCCAGCTAGGAAGGCAGGTTACAGAGGTGGAAGAGAGAATACCAAAAGCCACTGTGGTACATTTCATTATTGAATCTGGTGCTATCTCTACATGACTGCATACTGTGACACTTATGGAAGTAATAAACATAATTATTAATATTATTTATGTACTGCTACTCTCTCAGAAACTGGTAGATTAGCAAATGTCTCCTAGCTGGAAAACATCACCATAAGAAAAGCTAATTAAAATTTGGGATTTTTATTTGGCTTGAAACCTTCACAGATGTCAATCTTTCTTAATTAAGAATACAGTGGGGGGAAAAAAAAAACACACATCCATGTTATTCTAAGCCATTTTGTGCACTGTGAAATTGCTTTTTCTTCTCAAGAAAATGTGAAGTCATTTCTTTTACTTAACACACATTCCAGACCTTTTAAATAGAATTTTCCTTGAAGAGCTGAAAAATTGACAAAGGATTTTCTGGAAGTATTTTTACTTTTGTAAACAAGCAAATAAGCAAAAAGGCAAATTTGTATATGTAAGTATTAGTGTGAGGAAAAATTAAATATGTATAAATATAAATTTAGTATGCATATACATATAAATAGTTTCTATATAAACATATTTAATATATGCAAGTTATGTGTGTATTATTTTTCTCATTGAAATAGTCTTTATTATTGCTATTTTTCAAAGGAGCTCAGATTACTTTATGCACATCGAATTAATCCTTGGTATTTCTTCAAGGTAGTAAGTACTAAAACATCATAAGTTCTATTTTTTATATTAAGGAACAAGAGAATCAAATAAATAACAACAGAATAAACTCCTTTTGTCACTCAAAATGTGCATTTTTATATAACAGCATACAAAGTTCACAAAAAATATGTGATAGATATTTTCATTGCATGTGTGTGTGTGCATGTACATAGTTTGACTGACTTTTCATACTCCAACCTGTCCACATTGTCAAGTATAAATTGTCCTAGCTCTTTCAAATTATTGACTATTAGAGATAAAATCTTTATTTTAGTGTTTCCTCTTTTATTTTCTATTATTTATGCAACCATCTCTTGGAATGTTATTTAGAGCCAGAGTCTTGTTCTTTGCTTTTCATCAATTGTTCTGTACCAAGGGGAAAATGTCAAATTGACTAGTAAGGAATTGTCAGTGGGCAATGAGAACTTACAGCATTTACCTGGAGGCTTGCAAAAGTGGTTTTCAATCCAATAAGATCATGGTTGTGGATAGACGCAAACAGCAACTTAGAATTAAAGCTAGCGCTCTTAGAAAATATAGTCTTAGGCCAGAATTCTTGTAGAAGTTAAGAGAACTCCTCTGAGCTTGGCCTTCCCCCACAGCCTGCATTAGAAGTTGTTGACTTCTCCCTAGCAGGTGTTACCTGAAAATGTGGCATTCTAACACCCTACAATCCCATTGGAGAGAAGAAAATAACAATCTGGAACATTAGTGAAAAGTACATAAATTTGGTAATGACACAGAAATTGGAATTGTTTCCATACTACAAGTGAATACATTTATTACATAATCTAGACCTTAGTATTCTTACCTGAAAAACTGGGATGAAAATATCTACTTCATATGATCAGTATGCAAATTTAATGCCATAATTCACATGAAACACATAATACATAACAGGTTCTAAATAAATGTTATTTTTCTCCCTGATTTCACCAAAGATCAAAAGAAAAACCAGTTTTTCATGAGGTGAATTGGATACTGTAGTATCCAATGTGGACAGTGTGGACTGGGGCATATGGTCAAGCTACAGGAGGATACAATATGAGAATCGTGATAAGTAAAAGTATGAGAATGGAGAAGTCACTTCAACTCCCTCAGCCACAATTCTGGGGTTGCACTAAAGATTTCTTTTACCACCTGTCAATGAGTCTGAAATTTGTGAAGATGGACGGGTAGAAGAGAAGAAGAAAATTACATTTGTTAAACTCCTACCAGGTGTGAAGCAAGATGTAATCTGCTTTCTTCACAATAATAATGGATATATTTATATTTCAAATATACACAATGACTTGTGAAGTCATATGTCTGGAAAGTGTGGAGGCTGAGATTATAACCTGTGCCCTAAGAGCATGCAGCAGAATCATTGGACATTTTTTTTTTTTTAATCCTCACCCAAGGAGAGAGACAGACAGAGAGAGAGAGGCAAAGAGAAACATCGATGTGAGAGAGAAACAGATCAGCTGCCTCTCATAAGTGTCCTGATGGGAAGTCAAACCCGCAACCTTTATGGTGTATGGGATGATGCTCCAACCAAGTTAGCCACCCAGACAGGACTCATCAGTGATGTTTTTAAAAAATGTATATTCTAAGGCTCTATTCACAATGGTTGCTTTTTCAACTACAGAGGTGGGGAGAATAATTTTTTAAATTAATTTAAAAGATGTTTCCTTCTGATTCTGATGTTTCACTATTTCTTCGAGACACATAAACAAATATAACTAATGAAGCAAATTAGGAACACTGGGTGGTGATTTGGAAGGTGGGAATGACTAATTTGGCTTGGTCCTGAGTTGATGGCTCAGAAGTGGCAGAAAATAGAGGAACATAAAAATATATTAATTTGAGTATTCAATGTATTTTATATGCATAATCATGATCACCACTCAATTCCTACATAGGTTATAAGATCAACAACCAACAATTTAGAAGAAACTGCAAAACTCAATTTTGATTTTTATCAATGATGACTTTAGTTATGTCATATAAAATTAAAACTAAAAAAAGTCTTTAAAAATTTCAGATGTCAATTTAGAAAGCTATACAACATTACTGTCATGATAATTTGTTTTTTATTTT